TTTTGAGAAAAAGTCTTAATTTTGAGAAAAAGTCTTAATTTTGAGAAAGTCTTAATTTTGAGAAAAGTCTTAATTTTGAGAAAAAGTCTTAATTTTGAGAAAAACTCTTGATTTTCGAGAAAAATTCTTGATTTTTGAGAAAAAGTCTTAATTTTGAGAAAAAGTTTTGATTTTGAGAAAAAGTCTTAATTTTGAGAAAAAGTCTTAATTTTGAGATTTGAGAAAAAGTCTTAATTTTGAGATTTGAGAAAAAGTCTTGATTTTGACTTGACTCTTGAACAATACACCGTTTGTCCACTACAGGCCACCGTTTCAAGCGTATACAGTTCTTCTGTTGAAGACGGGGTGTGAGGATACGACTTGTGGCAGCGAGCCGGGCTGCAGTTTGCACAGCTCGATGAGCAGCGTGGTGTACATGACGTCGATGTGAGGAGCCGCTGGCAGCTGGAACAGCTCTCCAAAGATCACCTGAGAATAAGAAACATTCATATGTCTAATCCTCATTTAGATGAGAGAAGATAGCCTCGAGATGTAGCTTGTAAAAACTCAAACTGTACCTCCACGATGTGATAGTTGAGCGGGATCTTATTTTTCCCCGGATAGNCACCACGCTGCTCATCGAGCTGTGCAAACTGCAGCCCGGCTCGCTGCCACAAGTCGTATCCTCACACCCGTCTTCAACAGAAGCTGAAATATAGGATTTATGGTGTCTTCTTAATGAAGTGTATACGCTTGAAACGGTGGCCTGTAGTGGACAAACGGTGTATTGTTCAAGAGTCAAGTCAAAATCAAGACTTTTTCNAAGTCATAATTACGAGATTAAAGTCGTAGTTTCATAAATGACTTCAGAAGGAGACAACAGGAGCGTCCTGCAATAAAATGAGGAATGTGGAGCATCTTGACAAGATGCTCCACATTCCTCATTTTATTGCAGGACGCTCCTGTTGTCTCCTTCTGAAGTCATTTATGAAACTACGACTTTAATCTCGTAATTATGACTTTATTCTCGTAACATTACGACTTTATTCTCGTAACTATGACTTTATTCTCGTAATATTACGACTTTATTCTCGTAACTATGACTTTATTCTCGTAATATTACGACTTTAATCTCGTAACTATGACTTTATTCTCGTATTATTACGACTTTATTCTCGAAATCTCTCTGGGTTTTTTTTCTAAGTGTGGCCCTAATACTCCGTCGTAATTGTTTATGCATCAAGATGAATAATAATTAATTTAAATTAAATGGCTCTACTCAAGTCCCCCAAAAGGGAAATTGTATGAATTATCATGGCAAATAAAGGGAAATGTTTAAAATAAAAAAAAAAACATAAAAAGGAGTAACACCATCTCTTAAAGTGAGGAACCTCATAAATGGGGTAATGGTGCATTTTAGCCTCTTAGCTAACTATTACAACAAAAAACAGAAAAACACTTGCCAAAACTTTTTTTCAGTTGTTTTTAAGTCATAAACACAGAAGAACAAAACTATTGAGACCCAAACATTTGACAAAAATTGATGACCAGAGTTTATTTTAATCTTACTTGCCTTTCAGGGCATTCATAGTCATGAACATTAAGAAGCTGTTCTTCTAACCAATACTATACCACTACAGATGCAGAGGGCAGGCATCCTGTCCCAGCAAACTTTACGCTTTGTTTGTGTTTCTGTGTCCTCAGTGGGATAGAGGGTCCTTTGGGCGAGTTGAGCCCAGTGAGGGGGAAGTGCCGCCAGAGAGCCAGCTTGAGCTGAGAGTTGTGGCACACCTGAAGGACACGCAGGACTTCAAGGCCACGCTGGAAATATCCATCCGGGACAGTCAAACACACACTGTCCATCTCTCGGCCACAGGAACTGGCACCACAATTGTCAGTGACAAGACTTTTGCACCTGCCCTTGACCTAGGCGCATACTTCAGGTAGAATGAAAGAGGTCATATGCATTAACATAAGGGATAATGTGCAGCAAGTTGGACATAAATGAGAAAATAAGCTCAACAGGGCTAGCAGGATCCTGACGAACAGCTCGCAGCACCATTATCCCACTTATAACTTGGCTACTTGCTAAATAAATCAATAATTTATCAATCAAAGTATAGATACAAAAAAACTCCTATTGGTTCAGCTTATAGAAAATAGTCTGTTCTGCTGCGTGGCCATGCTGATTGAGGTTTTCTGCCCATTAACTGTCAAAATCTGTTCTTACTTTATTTCCCAAGTTAACAATCCCCCAGTCCATAACATGTTCCCTTTAGTTTGTACTTCCTGTCTGTCTTCTTCTGCTAATTTCTCTGTCCTCAAGCTCTCTGTCCTCCACATCTTTTATTCTCTTGCGCCGCTTTCTTGTTCTCTTTTTTTTTTAATTGACTTACAGTAGGACCGTTTAGCCGTCATGAATCCAGTGTCTTGCTCTTGACAAATATAAACAATAATATTGAAAAAGCATTCCATGGTGTCAGGCCACACCCGTCATGAATTGACCACATTTCTTTTTGCAGATTGGTATGACTGCACATTGATCAGAGTGACCTTAGCAATAGCCTGTCATAAAAAAATATTGACCAAACAGAATGTAGTTTTCAGCTAAGCCATGTATTCATTTATAATAACCATAATTAGAAATACAAATGTAATAGTGACTCTATGCCTAACCTTGCTCTCTTCTATATGTCCTATAAGCCATGAGTCATGCCAGTACCACTTTAAGCTGACCAACCATGGCAAGCGAGTGCAACGGATGTACTGGCGCATTGATAGCTTCCTGCCCTCTGCAAAAACCCAGAAGGGGGTAAACCCTTCGGACCGGACCGTCCTGCCCCCCATCTCTGCTCCCAGGAAGAAGGACATTCTGGGCCGTGGATCTTCGCTCCCCTCTAGCAGGGAGAAACCGGTGTTCAGCCTCACACCTCTTCGTGCGGAGCTTTTCCCAGGCCACTCCGTTGACATGGTGCTGACAGGATCTTCAGACTCTCCCAAGGTGAGACAGTTTGCCCAAAAAGAGAATAACTCATGCTCTGACTTGTATAAGCACAGCCAGTGTTTGCTTGTTAGATTAGAGCAATTGTTTGTAGTTATAGATGAAGGCCGTCCCTGCCTTCTTTTGGAATTGAAATACAAATCCTTCTTCTGGTATACATCTTTTATCTTTTATTTAAATGTTTTCTTAAATGGAATAACTGTCTCTAAATCCAATTTTCCCTAGTATAGATCAGGTGTTCTGATATAATTTATTCTCTATTGTTTCATGTTCCTGTGCCCTAAGGTTCTCTATAACAGGGTTTTTAAATATTCTTAATGTCCCCAAAATAAAATGGGTGAAGCAGCTTTTATCTACTACGTTCCCAAACTCAGAAATATTAAACTCAGTCAACATTTTTAAACAATAGCTGAAAATGCACCTTTTTTTTAATTAACTTAACTTAACCTTCACATTAACTTATTTAATTAATTTTGTCTTAGGTCTTTCTTAGTTTACCTGAGTGTTTTATCCGTGGTTAACTTCTGGATTACTTTATTCTATAAACCGTCTTGCCTATTTGACCTCCTTGTATTCTATGGAATCAGGTACACATGCTGCATATGTGCCGATAGGTTTTAACATTTGACTTGAATTTAATGTCTTATACATTTTTTGAAACACTTGCATATTGTGCATGAAAAGTGCCAATAAAATACATCTTTCTTATTAATATAGTTGTGTTCCTCAGCTTGTACGTGAGCACCTGGTATGCCATGGCATTGTGGGTAACCAGGGCACGAAGGAGCTCATCATGTCTGTAGATGTCACCTGTCACTTTGTGGCTCCTATGCTCAGCATCTCCTCCAAGCAGCTGAAATTCTACATAGAGAAGGTTGGTCAAAAGATCATTTGTCTTAATTTAGCTAATATATCTTGCAGTAAATGTCCCTACATTATCACATTTTTTATATATTTTTTCAAAAACCAGATGTATTCTTGACGACGTAGCTGAATTGTTAATAGTTCACCAATAATGTAAGCAACCCTGTAAAGGTTATTGAAGGCTGTTTTAATTGTATAAGATGCAATTGTGTAAGTAAGTCTTTCATAAGATTCCTGTTCCGAAAAGATGTTGTTAAATTGTTGGATTAATGATATATGTCTCACAGGTTCCAGGACAGAGTCTTACGCCCCTATTTGAGAAGCTGATCTTAGAGAATGTGTCATCTCTGCCTCTGCACATGGAGCTCTCTCTGGTAGAGCCCTTCTCCCTGCGTGAGGCCTCTGGAGCCCATATCAGAGCCACCACCAAGGTACACACCTCTCCCTTTCATTTCAATCTTACATCCATTGACCACCTCATCCAAATGTCCTTTGCTATCATAGCTTCTTATATCTCAAAAACAAACTTTTAATTATCAAACTGAATAATTGTAAGGAGACAGGAGGTGTGTAGGTGCCAAGGGAAATCCTCAGATGGCAGAAGCATGGGCTTAGCATAGACCGGAGGAAGGATGTGTTCTTTACGGAAAGGTCCCTGTTATTTAGTTCTGCTCCTACAATGGGGAATTGTGAGGCATCGTTAAGACAATCAGTGATCATTTAGTTTATTTTAAAATGAATGTTGTAGCTCCCTCCATTAATGGATATGAGGCAAGAGGTCTTAATACAAAAAACGGGTTTATTCCATAAAAGGCCAATCGGTGAGACCTGTTATGAAACAAAAATAAAATAAATAGATACAATAAATCAAAATGCATGTACAGTATGTATTTTTACAAATGACTATTTATGCTGCTTAAGCTGTAGAATAGGCAGTATAAAGCTAAAAAGTGTGGAGCATTTTGCATAAGCTAACACACACACACACACACACACACACACACACACACACACACACACACACACACACGCACGCATAACTTGCAGCTTACCAATATAAACTTACTTGAAATTAAATAAGCATTCCTCATAGTCTGCTTATTACTATGTATGTTTAGAGATTCCTTTTTTTTTATTTAAGGAATTTGATTTGCAGATCTGTTTTATATTTGCACATTTTTTGACTTTTATTATTATTTGACGTTTTTGCCTTAGTGTAAGCTGTTTTACTTTTATAGATTATCCATTAAAAAACAAATAGTAAATCTGTTCATTCAAATAATATCGAGACAAATCTACCTTTTTTGTTGAAATGTCGCATTCAGAGAAAGGACTAAAGTAAAAATAAGTCATTTATGGCGGGGACATCTATTCCTTGGGGCGTTACAGTAATGTGTGCAAGCGTACATTTGAAGTGCACTTTGACAGTGTTTGTGTATTTATTCTCACTGCTCCAGAGGGTAGACAAATGTTTCCCACTACAGCTTTAAAAGGGTCTAGAACTAAAAGATGTCCAGGTGGCAATGAGAATTTCAACGATAGTATTACTTCCTAAAAAGGGGAACTTCTGAAAGGCTTATGCTTAAGGCACTAATAACTCAGTTGAATTCTGGGTAACTGTCCATCTTGCCTATTGTTGACGTGTGGGGAAAAATGAATAACAACCTCAGCTAATGTATTGGTCTAGGTTATTGTGTTACTGTAAGCCATAAACTTTCTACTGTAAATGTTGCTTTCCTTCATGATTCATTGCTGTTATTTGCCTGAACCTTTATGATGACTCACACTCAGTGGATTCATTAACAAACTGTTGAACTGTTAATGAAGTTCTGTTTATATGTTACCCTAAATCCCATGTTTTAATTTGATCACAGATTCTGAGAGTTGATTTAAATATGGTAGTAAAATCTGCATTGAAATGGTTTAAGCCCCTGGCAGGTTTCGGATGATGTTTTGATAAGCCTTGTTCCCATGACAGGCTTACAGTAACTGTTTCATTAAACTATGGGAAGGTTATTAAAAGCGTTGTGAACTTAGGCGTTAGAAGTCATCAGATAGAAAACATAATGAATCTCCATCAGGCTTGCAAGCCCAGATTCTCAACAACAAAAAAGTTAAGTTGAAGAACCACTCTCATGCATTGAGAGGGTGGTGAAAACTGCAGAGAACATCACCAGGACGGAGCTGCCATCCATGGAGGACCTTTACTCCCAGCGGCTCAGGAAGAAATCCCTCCGGATTACAAAAGACCCCCATCACCCCAGCCACAAACTGTTCAGTCTGCTGCCGTCTGGCAGGTGTTACCGCAGCATCCGGACAAAAACAACCAGATTCAGAGACAGCTTCATCCCGCAGGAAATAAGACTGTTAAACAACTGAACATTCATCTGCTACTTAGTAATTATTCATCTATTATCTAATATATCATTCCAATAACTTGTATATAGACTCGTATTGCACTATTCCACTTTCTTTTTTTTCTCACTTTTTTTAAAACTATTTTTCTTTTTTGTATTACTTTTAATATAATATACTTTAATATTGTTTTAATATTGTCTGCTTATCTGTATTATTGTGTTGCATTGTTGGAGAAGCCTGTGACCTAAGATTTCCAACGACATTACTGTAGCTATGTTAGTTTTACAATAAAGAACCTTAAACGTTGAATCTTGAACCTTGATAAGTATACCTACTAACTAATCCAAAGAAAGTGTGATACTTGAAATACTATTTTACAGTATATATATATATATATATATATATATATATAACTGCTGTCTTTATTTTCTAGTCCATGGTTTTAGGTAACGGGAGAAAGGCTGAGTTGTGGGTATGCTTCGATCCATCTTCCTGCCGGGATCGGGTGTCACAAGTCATGGATGAGGTAACAGTGATGCATTTTCATTCTGTAGAAATATCGGGTAACACTTTATGGTAACACTTTATATTAAGGTACACAAATTAACCATCAACTAGTTGTTAATTAACATGCATATTAGCAGTATATTGGCTCTTTATTAGTCATTATAAAACAATTATTAATGCCTTTTTCTAAATGACCATATTCTACAAGTAATAAGCCATTAGTTGAGAGTTTTTCCTCAATAACCCTCTAATTAGTGCTTATTTATTGCAAGTAAGGAAGTTGTTGTACATGAGTTTTGGTCTTAATATGCGCTGCTTAATATGGCCTAATAAGGCAGTAGTACCACAAGAATAGTAATTCTACCTTAATAACAC